TAATAATAATAATAATAATTATTATTATTATTATTATTGTTGTTGTTGTTATTATAATTATTTTTTTGTTTTTGTTTCACGAATCGGCCATTATGGAGCCACACGATATGTGCATCCCACCAGGGCTCAGACTTTATTATCGGGGTAGGTGCACATTACTATTCTACAGGGGAAGATCAGCATTTTAATGCTGATTCCATATTTATACCCTAGGTTTGTCATCCCTGCGGGATGAAATGATGATGATGATGTTGATTAATAATGAAATAGACACACACACAACTCAACCATGCCCAAGAGACTCGAACCCGCAATCTACTGTTCCGAGACTGCTTTGGCACTATTGCCTTAGCAACCTCAGTCATCGAATTGGCATTGGTGTTATCGTAATCATTATAGTTGTTCTTATTACCATCGTTATCAATATTGTAATCATCATTGTTATTATTATTACATGTGAAAAAACATTACAACATAATTTAATAAATTTTGTAACAATATATTATTGTTCTGTCTCTTTGCAGGCATTACAATTATTATTATCAATATGTTTTCTCTATTTTCTTGAGAGCGAATTACTTACTTTAAAACAAGCAGCTTCAAATGCCCTCATCATGTATGGATATCCTACACCATGCATTGGTGTATATGTAAATTTCAAGCTACAACTTTTATTAATATCCAGAAATAAATAATTATTTGCAAAGACACCAAAATATTCTGCCGAAATTTCCTCTAGTGGATCTAAGACCAATAAAGGTTGCTCGTGAATAATGGAAACATTCCATGATTTCTCCCAAGGTTCCAAATTTTTCAAAATTGTCTTTTGGATATTTTTATCATGAGGTGAAGTTATCTAGAAACAAACAGAAAAAAACATAGTACAAAGTCAATGGCATCATGACATTTTAATGAAGACAGTTTTCTTTCGTACATTTTTTTTCTATAAAACTTCAATAACTTATACTGACAGACTGTTCAACTTTTTCATGTGTGTGCAGATGGAGGCAAAGGCATTGATATGAATTGAGAAGATTCTTAATTGAGCCACAGAGAATATTAACAGCGGATCCCATCCGAAGTTCATTTCGTGAAAAATGACATTCTGTTTTCGTTAATGTTCACTTTCACTATGGAAAAATTTTTGAAGGTGGAATTTGAGAGTTTTGCCATAACCCAATTCATTTGATATTTCAGCAGATGATAGGTATATGGTAAGAGTTTACCATCATACTTCAAACTAATAATGCAAGGTCCGTTGGGATCTGCTGAGCACCTCAATTACATTCAAAAGTTGTGTACATATCAATACACATGTTAAATTCAAAGACATGAATTCATTGATGGTGGTACAACACACACACACACACACAAAAAAAATCTAACATGCTGGAAAGGTTCAAAACCCTTGCCACCAAATGGCACAACAATATTTTTTCATTTTCATGACAATGATGAATGCTGAAAAACAACTAATATAAACAAAACAAAAAAATGTTGCAGCATTACATATTCACTGCCATACAATGCACCTATTCCAGCAATTACAGATGTGACAGACCTTCACAATACATTATGAAACAGTTATTCAAACAAATTCATTAACAAATGGCAACAAAACAAGGTTTTTACAAAACATGGGATATCATATATGAATTGAAAAGTGGTAAGTCAAAGATGTGAATAGAGAACACATTAATCAACAAGTGAACTGGTAGGCCAAAAGCCTCCCGAAACCCATGCACTGTCTTCAAAGTAGGCCATATTTCTTGGCTGTGCCTACAAGGCAATGTGCATAACAATGTAGTACCACCAAACAATGAGTGCCATCCAGCAGCTAATACATGTACATCTGGAAACTGGTGACGCTTGTGTGAGATCAGTAATATAGATAGTAAGGCCATTTCCCTGCTCAGATGACCTGATGGATCTCAATGCCCAAAAATTCTTGAGCATGTACTGCACGAAACAGTCATGAGCTGCAAAATATGTCCCTGCATTCACAGAAAGTTTGTTTAGTGTACCACATTGTTTACTAGCATTTTCATTACATTCTTCTAACATTTAGTCAAAAGTGACCAGGACCTAGAGATTGAACAAGAACTTCTCAATATGACAATGAATATGCAGAACATGCACAGTATATGACAGAGACTATGCAGAACATACACAGAAAAAAGCGACAACAATTTTTATAACTGAAGTTAGAGCATATGATGTTTATCGAGGGCAAACTAGCAGACCAGAATTATTGTGACATCTCACAAAGTATGTCAAATATTTTTGTCGAGATCTTTTATAACATTCTGCAGAAATAAATTTCTCTAAAAATTTGTGATACGTATGTTGTATTCAAAATGAGAGGACAGAAGTCAAGTACAAATTAGCATCATTCCAAATGACACAGACCACATGACGAATAAAAAAGTGGCCATAAAACTGCTGAGATGTACCAACATTCAGAACACAACTTAGAAAATACAACGGTCTACATGAGCACTGTAAAAGAGATTAGGTGATCTTAACATGAAAATTTCACAAATCATACATTATATGACAGTTATTTATAAGACATTTATTTCAAAATGAAAATGTTAGACCTTTTAATTTTTATTGCCAATAATTTTTATACTCAAATTAACAATAGAGTAAGAAAATATGCAATGATAGGTAATCGAGAAAACAACAGAAAATCTTCAAGTGCTACATTTTTTTAAGGCTGAAGTGTAGTATACGGTACAATCTATGGAAGTTGTTTAAACCAGCACTCCGCGCTGCTCCAGCGAAGGGGAAATCCAAGGTGGAGGGGACAAGGGGTATTAAAGGTATTGTTACTATTTTAGTACTCTCACAACTTGTCATTCAACAGGTTGGAACTTTCATTTCCTTCCCTGAAAATTTTCTGAACTTTCTGTCCTTTATGATGCTGAACCTCTGTCAGCACCTTGTCAGGACAACATATCTACTAGCTAATTTTTTGCCAGTTTTATTTGGTACCAAGTACCAAGGTTTCAGACATTTAGACTTGTGATGACTGATACTTTGATGTGTTACATAGACAGGTTTTCATTTTCTACAATAAGGAACTTCGGGATTCCTCCATCCAATCTTTTTCCCTTCACACATGAAATATTTTCTATTATTTGCTACTATCAATTCTTTTATATTTGCACATATATCTCTGTTTACATTAATCACTATGCACGGGTAGAGAGAGATTATTCTAAGGAGGCAGCTTTTGACAGCTTCTGATTGGCTACTACTGGCAACAAAACTGCAATCACATCCATGCACTCATTTCGTCAATGGGTTTGTTCACAGTTGGGTCATTTGTAAAAGGCTTCGACACTACCTCTTGTGATGCCATCATCCAACATGATGTTCTTTTGTTTCGCATTCTGTCAAATTGGTCCCTTCTTAGAGTAGCTTCTCTATATGTCAAGGATTGCATATTTTTAATAATAGTTTTCAGTTACAATCTTGCATACATGATGCCCTTGCCCACCGTAGTGTGTAATTACCAATGTCAACAAACATCAATCTCAAAGATGAAAGATATGTGAAAAGACAGATGTAACTTATAAGGAATTTTAAAAGCATTTACTTAAAACGACTACAAGAAATTGTTAAAAAAATGAACAGTTCAGCAACAAAAGTTAAAAGTATGAAGAAAATAGACAGAAAAGAGTTAAAGGAAGTAGGAAATAGAGTCAGTCAGAGAACAGTCAAGTTCTGTACAGGGAATATATAGCAAGACCAGAAATGGCAAAATTCTCTATATTTTAAAATAAAAGCTGATAGGAAAATATGTTATGATTTATTTTGCAATGAGATAATTTAATGCCTAAATTTCATCACAATATCACCATTTACTTGAATTATATTCTTTTTAATAAAATTGTAAAATAGTTTTCTTGTTTGTGCAAGATTTTCAAAAAATATTTGACGTTTTCTTTCATCTCACATGTAACTTTGACGTCATCTCGAAATATATATTTTTGCTAATAATAAGCAAATAATACCAATTACACTAGAATTATAACTATTGTTAAACAGCTTACGTACTTGAGCTCCATTATCCCAATATACTTTGTAACCATTGTCGTCTTTAGGATTATGTGAAGCAGTTACCATCACACCACAAAAGCATTGAAAATGGTCAACAGCAAATGGTACAAAAGGCGTAGGACATACTTTAGAAAATAAGTACACAGATATGCCCCTGTTTAGAAATATTGCAGCAGACAGTTCTGCAAAACTACAAAAACATCAAACCAACATTGAAAGTTACCAAGAAAAAAAATCAACAGTAAAGAGTAATAGAGAAAAAATGGTCTTGAAATTCACCGTTTACTATTGTGTCTTCCATCATAACCAATGACAATACCAGCTTTTTTCTCAGAATCATGGAATGACTCTTCGACATACTTGCACAAACCCTGAGCAGTTTGAATAATAACAAGATCATTCATTTGGGAATACCCTGGTCCCATACGACCACGTAACCCTGCTGTTCCAAATTGCAGTCGAGACAACAGCAACTTTTGTAACTGGGCTTCATCACCAGCATCCCTTAGACTTTGAATTTCATTTCTAGTATTCTCATTCTGAAAAGTATTTAAAAATGGAATACAGTCAACGAGAATTATTTAAAAGAATCTTCTTAAAAGTACCATTAATGTCCATAACTTACCTTATCCCAGTTTAACCATTCTTGAACTTTTTCTCTCAATAAATCAGATTTTTTACATTCTCCAAATCTACACTTGCCACTCATGGTGTAGTACCTTCAACATGTACCTATCACATTTTTAATAATACAATTCAAATACTAGCACAAATACTTCACGAAATCTGTAAAGTAATATTTTTTCTTTACTCACCACTGTGCCTAATCAAACGACCGCGCCTTGTACTATCAATGGTTACTACAACGTACATTTATTTAAAACCAATGAACAACGATACCGCACGCGGATTTGATCGACAAGGCCGACAGATAATGCTGGTATCTTTACACTGAAGATATTGGATTATCCGTAATGTTCGATAACAGCAACTGAAAATAGGAGATGATCAAGGATTACTCATTTCTCGCATTTTATTCGCGTGCAAAGTACTTTTTAGCAGAATAGTACCACGCTGACGTGGAGGGATAACGATGGATATTTTATTCTTACTACTCATTATATCAGTACTGCGGTATGCACGCACATAATTTTATTTAATACTAAAAATCAATTTGAAATTGTCATTTACGTTTTTGTTTTAAAATCATGCGGAAATTCTTGTTATCAGTCCAGAATGACGTACTGTGCATGACGTTATCTTGCCTTTGGACATGTCTTGTGATAATACCTGATAAATCGCGAAAGAGCTCTTCCGAGGAGAGATAATAAATGTCTAATTCAACTTCTTGCAGGTCGGTTTTTTTGTTAATGAAAGTACCAAAAAGGACCCCCTTGGCATAACATCGATCAGCTGATGCAAAAGAACCGGCAACACAAACCTGGAACGTCAGATCGACGGCAACAAACTGTGTGGGATATCCTAAGGATATCGTAGGGGATAATGGCATTTCTGTGACAAAAGTTTTATGAAAAATAGCAAGTCTCGTTACAATGTTATTGGAGGATTAACAGCGTCAATAATTGTATTACACAATGTTATTGTTGCGTCAATGAAAGATTTTCATGAGAGACTACAAAGGTGTATTCTCAGTGTGATCGCTAAAAGCTAGATTTATATTACAATGGATGTTGGTGTAGTGCGTGTAGCTGAAGACAGTGATTTTGAAAGGCTGAAGGAGTACCTTGACAATCACACTGGTTGGAAATTGGAGTACGGAAAGGAGGATACTCGAGTCTGGACGAAGTCTGTAGAACACACGAACTTCAAGATGATTAAGGTATATATTTTTTTGATAATTAACACAGAAATATTAAAGAAGTACTTTAATGCTATTGTTACGTGTAAAAATATTTCTTGTGTGCAGTTATGGACAGATTTTGACAACGTTCTTCCCAGCCAGATGTATGATGTTCTTCATGATCCAGAATATCGGAAAGTGTGGGACCAGAATATGATTGATGCTCATGATATTGGCTACATAAATCCTAATAATGATGTAGGCTATTATGCTAGTAAGTCCAATATCATTTTTGAAAATAACATAGTATGTTTGTAGAAAGAAATGTAATTGTGAAGTCTCAAATGAATTTCATGATCCTCTTAAACTTTAGTTTGTGATTGTTGTGTACATGTGAATATCTCATGATATTTTTGACTTCTTATCTGAATTGCAAAGTAAAACAATTGCATAGTCTGAACATGAGAGAATATTGCGTTGCTAGTGTTAGAAGCATTCATGATATTTATTTTTCATTTGTGTTGACTTTATGATTTATAGTGAAATCCGATGTACCAAGATACTTTTGTATGCAATGTGGATAAAAATATAAGAAAAGAGTATTTGTGTACGTGAGCATCTTCGTTTAGAAAACTGATATATACAACTCGTAAGCTCAAAATTGAAACCCACTATTTTTTTTAACATGCACTATATTATAGCATCACATTTACAGAGTGGGTTAATTTTAACCCTGTGGGGTAGTCCTTTTCTTAAGAACTGGTTTGTAAACAAACGCTGTTTCCTTCATCAGCATTAGTGTATTAATTTTATATTATTGTATCTTATTTATTGTAGAAGTAGACCTTATGAAATAAAAAATAAGTATTAAATGAATAGGTTCATTTTAAGTTGTCAATTTAAATAAATTTCTGTTGAAATATTTTTGGTGGTGAGGTTGAAGAGAGTAACTTATAATGATGCAACCTCTGCTCATAAACAAATATTGTATGAATAGGACAATTTAATATTGAGAAAATATAGAATAGAATGTTTATTTTATTCAACTGTTGTAACATTTAACAAGTCATTTTAGTTCAATACAAAATAGAAATACAGTTGGCTCCATTTACAGTGAACTTCTGTGGTCTAACATTTTTTGTTTGCTGTATCAGAGGTTCACTATATCTGATGTCAAAATTAAATAGTTTCTCCGCAATGATTAATTTTATTAATAATTGAAAATTTATTATCGGCACCAACTGAAAATTTCAATATCTTTATTTGACATTAAAAAATTAATAATTTTCAATTGTTTGTTTCATACAGTTTTCATTAGTAATTTCTCTATATCCTTCTCCAGAGTTCATGCACTGTTCATACTGGATTAAGCATTGCCTGGTGTTTCTAAGTATTGTGATGCAGTCTTGACACCCTTCAATGCCTCTTGTACTGTTAGAACACCATCCTACTTTCCAAAGGCCCTTTTACTCAATAATAACATAAGAGATCCTTTTGGTAGCATCATGGTGCAAGCGGCTAAGGAAACAGATTCCTGAATGAAACATTCCGGGTCCTCTACCTTCACCTCAGGGGAAACTGGATTATGACCTTTGGCCGATGATTTTTCTCCAAGCTGTCCATTATTGGAATTTGTAGCATTGAGACAATATTTTTTTTCCAGAAGGGAATTCCAAGACGTATTTCCCATGTTGATTATAACCAAGGTTCAGTGTTTACTGTAACCGAATCTTCTTATGCTTATTAGTAATGTGAGTGAAACAGAGCCAGTGGCTTTTTGTTCACTATAACTGAGAGTTCACTGTATCAGAGTTTACTACAACTGGAGACGATTGTAATTGCTTTTTGAGATGAATCGTACAATAATGATAAAAACCCTCTTGCTTGTGAGTGAATTGTCCTGAAGAAGGGCATTCTAATTGTTTTGAAATTGAGTTGGGTATAGAAACCTGCAGAACAGTTCATAAACAGAGAAATTGGGAAAGATTTTGTAAAATGAATTTTCTATTTTATGTAATTTACAGAAAACTGATATTATTTGACTTTGAGCTCTTTATCATTATTATAACTTATGTAATTTTGTTTAATGACAACTGATAAAAAATACATTATGCATCTGATTTATTGCAGTGTCTTGTCCTGCACCATTGAAAAATCGAGATTTTGTTTTACAACGTTCATGGCTAGACACAGGCCAGGAGCAGTTAATTATAAATCATTCTGTTTTTCATAAGGACTATCCACCAAGAAGTGGTTTCATTCGTGCCACTTCATTCATGACTGGTAAGTTCTCACATACTTTAGGAGATTCATACTATCATTTTTCTCATCTTAGAAAGAGGAAATACATGTATATCTTTGCTAAATATTAAAAAATCAATTTTCTTTTTAATAGGTTTCCTAATCCGTCCAATTGATGAGACGGGATGTAAACTTGGATACATTTCTCAAACAGATCCTCACGGTACTTTACCTCCATGGCTAGTCAACAAATGTACTCAAATCTTTGCACCAAAGGTAGTAACTATTTTTTAAATGACTTTTGGAACTCACTTACTTTGTTCATTCTGTAAGAATTGAAGTTTTGAAATGATTGACTTCCAAAAATTTTATTATTTTGAAATTTAAATTCTTGTCATTACAGATGATTAAAAAGTTACGAAAAGCATCTCAGGCATATCCAGAATGGAAAAAACACAACCACCCTGATTTTAAGCCTTGGCACTATCCTGAACAAATATCTGCTCCACGTCTTCGTATTGAAGATGTAAGTTAATAGAATTAGTATATGGAGTGAAACCTATAAGCACTTTTCTATGTATACAAATGTATCTTTCCAAGGAAGACTTATTTACATGTGTGTTTTGTTCTTAGTAATGTGTGAAATCTCTCTCTCTCTCTCTCTCTTTTTTTTCCCCCTGAAAAAATTATTCTGACTATTATTTTTCTTAGGGTTGGAATGTGTGCTGACGTGCAGATTGCTAAGTTCATAGGAAAGCTCTTCGAAAGAGGACAAGTAAAAAACAATCTTCATAGGATATTAGGTAGATTTGATTTGAGTATTTTTGTGTTCTGATATCTTATTTCTTTGTAACATGCATGAAGAAAGGTTTCAGCTATTCAGTTCTTTTGTAGACAACCTGGGTAGTCGAGATTGTTGAGGCGGTAGCGCGTAACTATCTCGTCTCGAAGGGTCATTTGTTGGAATCCCACCTTGAGCATGGATGTTTGCTCATGTGTTATGGCATGGTGGACTTTCCCAGCCAACATCACCTTTCAACCTTCTATCTATTCCAGCTTGGGATACCCTCCCCTATAATTGACTTTGTATAGCCAAGATGAACCACAATAATCGTTGAATATTCATAGATTATGCCGATTCATCCTATTGTCCTGTCACTCTTAAATGTTGAAGTCTATGGGGGCCTTGGTAATATGAAATAATGAAAATGAGATGGATCTATGGGAAAAAAAGTGGTTGGGCAATGGGGTGGTTTGTCCCAGGAACCCACGTAGAAGAGAAGGTTTAGTCGTGATGGGTGGGTTGGTTGAAAGACCAAAATGTTAAAGGAATCAAACGAAAATGAAGTAGAATTACCTAAAACATAATTAACTTTTTGCTATTTGTATTATGCACGACTTTTAGAGTAATCATTATCATGCATTTCCTAACCTCCGTTCACCATTAAGGGCCATAAGTAGACTTCGAATTTTTAGGCTCTTAAACTTTTTTTTGTGCCTGTTGTAGAAGGTTCTTAAAAAAAGGCAAAAATTGGCAATGAAATTTCTTAAATAGGCAAACTAAATTAAGTCAAAAATAATTTTTCAGGATATTTTTTATATTACTTCAATGCTTTATTCGCACTTTGTTTGAATTATTATTTAAATGACACATTTTGTTACATTAAAGCTAGAATAAGTGTAATGTATGTGCTATTGTGTAGGGTACAAGGTACACCCTCAATGAAGCATGGCAGCGGGGGGAAGGGGTCTCACTGAAATTATGCTACGTGCTCTGATAGAAATGAAGAAAACTTACGGATAGGCGATTTTCATGGCTCGCCCTTCAAACACGTTGCCCCTTTCTGCATTCTAATGCCAATTTACTTTCAAGGGCAAGTTTTCTCGCTTCGCTTGCCCGGATCCAAGTCACAGCGAGGCTTGGGCCCTGAGCCTTCGTGTTCACTATAAACATCCTTGAGTCTATCTATCGCATAATTACCAATTCACTTTAATGAGAAAGCACTTTTCGAGAAAGCCTCCAGAATTTAAACTGCGCAGTTACCGCCGGAGTGGCACGAGGTGCTTGTTTAAATGACTTCCGTAAGTTGTACTACTACCATAAGTTGACTTATGACTGTAAGTTGTACTGTAAGGTGTATACTAGACTTCAGTCCTAAAATTAAATTGAATGGAGTTGAATGCTTACCTGCTTGAAGCATGGCTGTCGAAAAATGAATTTTGTTTAATGTTGTTCACGAGTTAAAAACAAGCAAATTAAATGTACCGATGTTTATACAACAAAAACACTTTTAATTTTCAGGATTCTAAAACTCAAATAGTTCACTCAAATTAAAACTCATTATCAGGCTGAGAGGAGAGGGAGATGTAAAGTCGTAGAATGGTGATTGAATTTTATGTCACCTCAAACTGAGATAAGCATAAATGCCCCGAAAGTATTTCTAGGAAATGAACCTAAATGAATAATCTGGTTGTAATTTGAGACAATTGGTACTAATAAGGAGCGTAGAAATAGCTCGTCAGTACATAAATTACAGAATTGTCTTCACTTGAGATGAATCAATCAGAAAAGCTTGCAAAAATAGTTAAGATAATTTAAAAAATTTATAAATGGAATTATTAATAGCAGAATAGTTATTTTTATTTTCCAGCGCTGAAATAGGCACTTTTAGGCACTAAAAATGTACTTCTTTAATTTTATAAAGTCGTGAATAATATTTATAATGAATTTTGAGTATCTAGATAATGTGTTTAAAAATTCGATGTCTCGAAATAAGCTTGTGACATGGCCACTGCTAACCATTTAATGAGTATGTTTTGAAGTATGGTTCTCTAGTAATGAATGCATCATAGTTGCAGACATTGAAATAGGAAGGTTTTGAATGTCTAGTATTTGGGTATTGCAAAATTACTGCAAACTGAAATAGCCATTGGAGGAATGTTGAAATTATTTTACTCTCTATGGTCACAATGGGGTGTAGAAAAAATGTCCTTTTAACTTTTAGATAGTCAGATGGGTTGTATAAGCATTCCCAGATACTAATAACTGTCGTATAAAATATTGACAAAATGTTTATACAATTCTCAGTACTTTTCAACAAAATGTTGACCTCCCTCCCCCTCCCCCAAGAAAAGAAAATTCTTTCTACTTATGACTCTTCAAATAACGCACATTGTTTTTGACAGAGGACTCCTGGCATGTCCATGTGACGGTACAATGTGACAATACTATGTCACATAGAATTGATTGTTATACCCAGTTATGTGCTTACTTATGCCTTTTTACAACTTTTTTCTTTAATGCTACATGTACAGTTAGAACCTCTAAAAACTGAGGTAAACTGATTTAATTATAATACAGTTGTATTTACAGTTATATCAAAATTAGTTGTATTCACTGTGCCAGCAAAATTGGCATTTTTATTACAATTACAGCAAAGTTACAATGTTCTCAGAAACTATTATTTTAATTTATTGCAGTTTTTTCTTTTGAACCTGAAACTAAATTTGGTCATGAACCTACTAAAAACTCCGATTAGAACAAATAGAATGTGAAGTTTCAACTGCAGCAGTGAAATTGTGAATTTCAATTTGTAATTCTTAGCGGTAATGTTGAAACACGTAAGGATGTCCAAAAAATGCACTTCCTATTCCTTTGAATATTCAGAGAGTAGTAATAGATTTAAAGAAAGTTTTGTCTTTTGTTAGCATTACTGAAAATTATATGGAGTGTGAAAACAAATAACTGCTCCTCCTTCGGTGTCAGATTTGCCCATTCAAAACTAAGTTCAGAGAATGTTTTGAAATATTATTTCAAAACGAAAATACTTTATACAAAAGTTCTAATAATGCAGTCTCAGATACATCCATATTATTCTTATACAGTGAAACCTGTCTTAAATGGTCACAATTGAATCTGGAGAAAAATTACCGTTGAGACAACTGGATACTTAATAGAGGTAATGAGAATATGAGAATCAGGAATACAGTGTATTTTTTCTGTTTGCATTGAAGTTTGGTGTGCTTTTAAGTATGCTGATGTTACCTTTTGAATTACCCTTAAGCTACAAAATATGGGAAGCTTTTTTGCATGTTTGCATGCAAACAATACATTACAATTCAATTCACTGTTTATTCACTCTTTATTTCCCACACTGTTGTTAGTGTTTTTTTTCTTTTGTAGATTTGATTTCTCAACTATTCAAAATTGCTATTCACACCGTGAAGTTACTTCAAAGTTTGCCAAAAAATCATCTACACCTAAAACAAAGTAATACTCCCGCAAATAATTAAATAGCTCTGTTTTATGTAATCTGAAAATACATCCCTTCACAAGAAGATACTGAGCCAATAGTAGTTTTCTGTGCCACATTGCTGTTTATAGTGCTATAGCATCAAAATGAGAAATTATAAGAAATTGTGATCATCTAATACAGGTTAATCTACGAAACATGCCAGGCTTTCAACTATCAGATGGCCGCGTAAAATATAGATATATTTGTACATGTCTTATAGAAAAATTAATTGCTTCACCGAAAAAATGGACATTTCTTGAAGTGACCACGTAATGAAGGTGGGCATTTTGGCAAGTTTTTCTGAATATAAATTAAAACAAGTGGTGGTATAACAGTACATTCTTTTTCACACCATTTCTAACTTTTGCAATTTTCGTAAATTCAAAGATCATTGACAATGTGTGGCAATAAGAGATTTTCTGGTGAGAAATTGCTGATTTCCGGTACACAATTACAATTCTTTCTTTTTCACATACTCTCTCTTATTAATAGTAAATGAAATATAATAATATTATTAGTGACGGTCCTCAGTCTTCAGCTTGACCACTATATTTATGTATCACATATTTTTAATTTATTGTATAGACATAAAATTTGCAGTAAATGCCATTTTGTTTAAATGTTGTTTCTTCCCTTCTCTGGTCCAAGACTCCAGTGATGTTCTCTTTATCAATTTTTACCCTTGCCATAATTGTTCATTCTCGTGTTCATGCGCATGTTCTTTCATCATAACGCCTCAGATATTTCATGTGGCAACAGCTGTTCATTGCTTTATTCCAAATCTAATTACGACTGGGAAATGCTTTTTAGTATTAATGACTTGAACAGAATTTTTTGTTGCTGTCTTGTATTAGCTTTCATTGAAGCAGAGGAAAAAATTCTATGTTTTTTAATATTTAGTTAGCATTTTTGTGTTTATCTAGTTTCTAGTGACAATAGTTTACTCTGTTTCTCAGTTTAGAGAAACTAACGTAACCACAATAATGGTTGAATATTCGTAGATTATGCCAATTCGTCCTATTGTCCTGTCAGTCTTAAATGTTGAAACTTGTTGTATGAATGTATTTAATTCTTTCTGTAAAATGAAGCATGAAATTGCAACATTTCTGTAGATTATTTCAGAAATATTTTTTCCTGTATCTAATTGTTTAAAATCTCTCCTATTTGCAATTTCTTCTTGGATAGTCTTATTCCTTACTACCTTTTTAGAGATGTGATTACATACATTTTTATTGTATTTGATTTTTTTTTTATATTTGAAGATTTTGGAAGAAAATGAAAATATCTACAGCATTTTATATTTTTTCAGTGTGTTGAATCGTCTTCCACAAACGCTGACACAGGTTGGGGTTTCAATGGGATTTAAATCCTCAATGCAGTGAAGATACTAGACAAAACTGAACAATTCGGTTGTATCAATTCCAGGTATATATTTATTGTATGTGCCTCTGTTGACATGTAACTTGGCAAATTTTAAATTTGTGTTTTCCTAGTTCAAATTAATGTTTTGTCCCACAATGAATGTTTGAAAATAAAACAATTCTTGCATGTGTTTGAATGGCAGACTATTCAAATTTTAAAAAAATTGTTCAAAAGGATATTTACACAGAATATTAAAATTTAACGTTTTTTATATGTTGCAAACAACAAAAAGACAGAAATATTGAAGTTTGGTAAGATGAATTATGTTTAAAGACAAGTATCAAATGAAACCTGAATGTATCATTTCATTACTATAATTGTTTCTGTTGCTGCAATTTAATATTATTGAGTTACTGCTATTATTCTGATTAGTTTTTCCTCTTATTGCAATTGTGTTATTATCATTTTTATGATAAAATCACAAATGTAATAGTAAACAGACGTTTTATTGTAGGAAGATCTGTTATAATTTTTCTTTTGTCTGCTGTTCGAAGAATATTGTTATTTAACTTTCTTCTGTATTGTGTACTTCTTTAATGCAAGTTTGATACAATACTTAAAATCACTTTATTTATGTCCACATAAATTTAAATAAAGAAACATGTTTTTCATTTATTTTATTAAATTTAACACCATCAAAATTATTTGCATTTTCTCATATTCACATTAAATTTACAGAGAATGTACTGTATAATGCTACCAACAATTTTGCATTGTCAATTTATTACAATTGATACATCTGATACATATTTAATACAGTTGCTACAAAGTTTGTACATATTCGATTTTGATTCATTTAATTTGTACATGATTTTTCTACCTCCTCCTGGGAAAACAAAGTCAAAACAAACATTTTTTATCTCGGTTGAAGACATTAGGTCATCTGGTGTGTGCTTTACTGCTTCATCAATCTATTTGAAATTCTGTGGCTAAGGAAAGGTGCTCAGTTTAGTGTAGTTAGAGATTTCTTTTTATTGCTCTACTTCTGTTAGGGCATTCACTCCTCCTCTGGTGAACAGTTTACGAGGGGATTGTCATTGTTCAATTATACCTTTAGTAACATTTCTTATTGAAATTAAATAACAGTTGAAAGTACCCTCAACAGGTACAGCTCAGAGCACTATTAGTAGTGGCACAGACCATTTGGTGTAAAATGGTTTACTCACGTGCTTACAATGAAACTTGCATTGTACACTAACATTTATACCTCTGAAAATTTGTAAGAACTGAATTAAGGTAATTTAAAAATAATTTGCTTTCATCTTGAAAACAAAGGAAATTGTTGGTAGGCTGTATACTTCATATATGATAATCTCATGCAGTAGCTTATAATCTGTAAATCTAATGTGTAATTTTGAAACTGCGTTATTATTTTTATTGTTTTATAATTAATCATTTATATGACTTTTTATGTTTTAAATTGCAAGTACTTGAAAAGGTATTGATCATTCAATGCATTACGATATTTCTAAGGTTAGTTTGCAACACAAAATGTGTTTGCAAAAAATAGACATCATACTAAGGAGACAAAAAGAACGATTTTAAGGTGTGCTTTATTGAGACAAAATATGTTCTTGAGTGAAAAAAATTGAATGCTGAAAATGTCATGCCATTTGTATGCAGAATGCAAATTTTTCTGTTGGCCAACATTTGATGACTACCTTTTGTACACCATTCACAAATTTCATCTTTTTGTATTATGTAGACTATTGAAGTCACGTGATTTAGTGTTGTAGAAATTGTAAATTTCTAGAATGTTGCAAAAGTATTTTGTTTCAGTATTATATTCATTTTTATACAAAGTTAAACCTTGAGGAATATCATTTAAACCTTACTGGAACATATTTTGTCAGTAGGTTACTTTGAAGAAAAATCTCTATGAAAGTGTAGCAATAAATTCTGCTGAGAAGCTGCTGGAGTGAAAGTCCTTGGTGAAATTATTCTTTAATTTATTTTGAAGAAACAGTGTTCTTTGGTTCTATTAATTTGCATTTTTATTGTGAAAAAAATTTGAACAGATTTGAAGCATTCTCAATTATATATTACTACAGTTTTAGATATTGTAGATATTATTGAGGCTGCAGTTCACAAATGGAGAAAGAGAATTTACAATGCACAACAAAATGAGGATTTAAATGAAATGCCACATTGTAAACTTTCCTTATTTCCTGTGAGAAATTTGCTTTGATTTTTGTGAAAAATTTGCTTTGATTTTTCAATGAATTTCAACTGTTTCCTTTTTTTATGTCATTGTGAAATCCAGTGAATTGTGAAACATCTTTAACAACTTAAATATCTTGCTAGTAGCAGTTTGCATCTTTACAACTAGTGAACGTATGCCCATAATATCTATTCTCTGTAAATGCTTCTCTGCCTTCATTTGTAAACACTGCCCTAAATAAATTTAAAACAATCTTTAGTATTTAAAAATAATATTTTTAGTGATATAAAGGTTGGCACTACTACTTCTTTGGCACTAGGACAGTTGCGATTTGATTTAATAATATATGAAATAATTAACAAATATCTTCTCAGTAGGATCTGACCTGCGTAGTTCTTAGAGGTTAATAATTTAAGTAAATAAGAAATTTATACTATCAATTTTAGAGAATTTAAATGTTTATCCTGCTTTAAAATGGTATGAGAGAAGTTGCAGACATTTTACTTTTTTCTTCTTTTCTTTTATAGATTGTAGATATTTGTTTTTACTATCCCATTTCCTAAAAAAGCTGTGAATTGTCTTTGCAAATTACAAATTTGACTTGGGGAATAATTCCATCCGAAAATACAGAGGAAGGGAATACGGAAGGAAGGATTTTCAAATACTTTCTGCACTTCACTATTTTATTATTGTTACATCTGCATTAACATTCTGCAATTCATGAAATATTCCTTTCTCTATTGTATGTAAACTACTAAAATGTTGTGTCCTGAAAATCGTGTCAGACCAGAATTGAAACAAAATTAACTTGTTTACTTTCACAGCAAATATTTTTCAAAATTCTTATTGTGTGTTAGTAAGGAAGCTCAATGCAAAGTTTATCCCAGAGTAAAGTCATCACTCCCTACTCATTTGCAGAACTATCTATTTTGTGAACTTAAACTTCATGAAATGTCTTCAAGCAAGCTGCACAAATTCAGTCCTATGATTCTGCAGCTGGTGCACACAGGCATTGTTCCACCTTGATTATTGGGAGGCACAGCAGGGCTCTGAGGGACAAGTTTCACAAACAGTAGTTGGTTAGGGAAGTGGGGGGAGTCTCAAAGTGTTGTGTGAAAAAACAGTCACCAATATAAGCATCTGAGAAGAAAAGATTTAGAGAAGCGTAGAGTTGTAGAAACAATCAAAATTAAGCAGTTGCCTGAGGCTGAAGAAGAGAACTCAATCATAATAAGAAAACTCAAATATACTACTTAAAATTTTAAGCAAGCTTTTTACAGTTTGTAGTGCTATGCACATTATTCAAAACTATTACATTTTTATATTGTATGTTACTCTTTATAACATGAATATTGTTCTAAATTGTTGTATCTGATATTCTTTATCGACATGTTATATTTTGAATATTTCATATTAATTTTTGACTGATTTTTTTACAACCACATGGTAGATGAGCTTCATAAATAATTTTTCAATATCAAATTGTATATTTTTTAATTACAAATCCAGTTTTATATGAAATATTCATGAAATGACTTTTAAGCCTCAGTAGGGGGATGACTTTATTCTGAAAATTATTCTATCTCAATTTTCTCACTGTTGTTTTTCCTGTGTGATGGTTAAATGATGGGATATGTACACTTGTGACCAAAACCTAATGTAGTTAAGACTTCTTTTGACACATGGATGCATTTTATGTATTTTCGGTGGGGGAAAAATAGAAATCAAAAAGAAATGAAAATTTAATTTTGGTCTCCCCTACCTTATGCAAGGCATCAATTTTATTTACTCATTTTTTTCCGTATGATCTTGCTAGGTTTGCTATTGCAGGGATAAGCATTAATAATAAATTAGAATTTGGCTTGCAGTGTAATATCATAAACAACCATTTTTATAGATGCTTTCAGAAGCTGAATGTGCATTGCTAATGATAGTGCAAGGGAAGTTCATAAAATATTAGCATTTTGAAGTTATATTTTCTAAAAAGGACCTTTGACCTATTTAAGTATTTGCAGAAATTTTCTGGAAGAGCTTTTGAACAACAACACCAAATTTTGTCAGTGGTTTTAAGAAGCTGATTAAAATGTAGATTTTGCATGTCAAAAAAATTGGTAATAGAGTAAGTAATTTACATTTTTATCTTGAAAGGCAGTCACCCATGATTGTAGCACAATTTCTGAGGTAATGTGTTCTGTTCTGGGGCGACAACTTGAACCGTTATTTATAAAACAATGTCATACAATTTTCTGATATAGTACTTAAAAACTGGATTGATGAAAGTTTCGATTTAAAAATCTGTCCAATGATAGAAGAGGGTTAAAATGTTAATGAAGTCAATATTCATCCATTACTGTCTCAATTACCAATAAAACTCATTTTTTGACATGGAAAATAATGATTTGATGTAGTCATCCTCTAAATTAAACATACTTTGCTAGTCAAATTTGTAAAAATAAGATGCTATTGGTGTGATCAGTTATATTGCTATGATCATATTTGTCATGGTTTTCTAGGTCAGTTATTTTCTTCAGCTCTTTCTCCTTTGCAGTACAAATATGTGGTAAGAGAGGCCGGACAAGATGAAAGCCATCGGTTACTGTTATTAAACAAAAAGCCTGTAAGTTTCTACTATTTGAAATGTACATGTATGTATCATTTGGGATAATGTTGAGTGACATCCTTGGTTACAATTTTGTGTTAAACTGCCTTCATAATTTTGCAATTTATGATTAGATTTCTTACAGATCATTATACATACAAATCGTAAGACATTTTTGGAGGTGCATATGTCATCTTTTATTGCTACACTCAATAGTCTTCCCAAACAAGTCTTGCAGACTGCAAAATTGAGTCAGTAGGACCTGTCATTACAATGTAGTAGTGTCACTACAATCATTTCAAAAGTCCTGTGATGTATTTCTTTTTGTTATTTACCAATGTAGCATTCTTGTGAGTTGTGTGTTATCTTGAAAGGCAGATTTGTTATGATTTGAAATACTGTAAATTGTGCCTTATAAGAGGCAATTTTATGTACTGATACTCCAAAATATCATTGGATTGTACTGAAAAACTAGTAATTTTAACTAAAAAGACAATGAAAATATAGACTATAGTCCATTGATGTTATTGGAATAATTGAAGTACAACTTCTAGAATCTGCATGGAATGATCCTGTACTATTGCCTCAATTTCTTCATTGCTTCAAATTAGACACAGATTTTTTC